CAGCTATATAAATTAATGAAATAAATAAATATATAAATATTACATAGTGGATTTTTCAATATACTTTTGTCTAAACCCTTTCTCTTCTCCCTCAAGGCCACTGGTGTTTTACCTGAGACTTTGGTGACAGCTTTGTTTGTCCTTTCTGTGGACATGCCATTTTCCTTGGAATATCCAAGTATACATGAATCAGTCACAGCTTATTTGGAACACATGAATTCAGAAAACTACAGTATTTATAAACAAGCTGCAGAAGCTGCCTATTCAATTGAGTGTTCTTGTAATTTTATGCTGGATATCCACAAGGAGGTAGGATATTCTGCTTAAGTGAATTTCAGTGAACAAAATGGTGTAAAATTTCATGTGTGCATCCCTAGCCCTATATAAGTGTTGTGAGAATACTCCTAATAATCCACACAATCCCCAGGGAGTCATTTGACTCCTGCAAATATTCATATTTTCAGTTTTGGCTCATGGTGACTGAGCAAGCATTTGGTGTATATCACTCGGTCATTCCCACCTAACTCCTTTTGCCAATCAGTTTTGAAAAAGTTCTTTCTGTAGTTTCTTATCATGGCATGTGTGAACTGGGATCCTTGGATTGTCTCTCAAGTAAGCTAGGATAGGAAGAATAAAGCTTGGCTTGTGTCTTTGGCTTGTTAGGAGGCCTCTAGACCTTTAGATTGCCACATGTTGGTAAACTACATCATCCATGTTTTCTATAGCTGCTTCCACTGACAAAAGGAACCAGGCGGTGAACTAAAACTCTTGGAAATTCCAAGTTAGCTTGGTAATTGAATAATGCCAGTGGCATTAAATGCATCTCACTTTCTTGAAAAGGTAGCAGAGTTATTCTTTCCGTTAGAGATTTCATTCATCACTTTCTTCTGTAAAGAGCATGTTTGGGGTTTTTTTCCACCTTGTCATGTTCTATATGTTGAGATCTATGTGTGTAAATTTTTGTGGGGAAGGGGGGAGAGAGGGGGAGAGCTCCAACTGCCATTTAAGTTATTTCTTTTGATAGAAATGTCTCCTTGTTGCTTAAATTTGAAATACACTAAATGTATCATACAAGCTTAGACCCTATTACAAAAGATGTGTCCCCCAAAACTGACTGAAAAATGTAATACTATGATATTAGCATTAATAGGCATATTAATTTCTGGTGAATTATAAATTGTGGCATTTTGCAGTTAATAGTTACTGAAACCAGATTTTGCTGTCTATATTAAGCAAAACAAACAAGCAAATGAACAAGCAAAAAACACTTTGTTATTGATGAACGAACTGAAAAAATGTGTTAGTTTTGCTGACATAGATCTGTTTGCGATTGTTGGATTACTTGGGTAAGTCTTGAAGCCACTTGATCAAATCCTTCATTATTCCCTGCTCCCTATAGATTAATGAAATCATACTGCAGATCTGTTTGTATATGGGAAGGAATATTTGTCTGTGTGTTCTATCCCTATTAACTTTAGTCAATAAGATTTTTTTTCAGTATTTAGTAATTTGATATGGTTGTTGGTAATTCTACTGATAAGCTGGTTCCTCTTTCTCTATGGAAGTTTTGTGAGTTGCTGCTACTTGTTATATTCATTGTTATTAGCAAATTATTTTTGTTTATCTTCCATATGAGTGTAAGTTAACCCATAGATCATTAATTCATCTACCTATTCTTTAAAATTAAATGGTATACTTCACTTTTTTAAAAGGGCGAAAAAAATCTTCTTGATTTACTTGAACTGGCAGAACAAGCCATAAAAAGTCTTCCGTACCATCAGTATTTTGTTCTACTTAAGGAATTCATCAACATTTGCTCAGATATGTAAGTTTGGCAATTTGCATGCCATAAGAAAATGTCACGGTAGGATTCTAAGATGAAATATTGAGCTATTAAATATATAATCCATTTAAGTTGTTCTTTCAGCTGAATAAGCATATTGGACAAATTTAAGAATATTATTCTGACAAGGGGATGGGGAATTCGCACAATTTAGTGCCATTTATGTGGTAACATGTTATAGCTATGTGTAGATGGCTTTTTTATACAATCTAACACAAATGCGTCTAACCCAAAGATAGATAGGTGTGTGTATGTGTGCATGTATAATGATTTACAAAGCAATTTAAGAGCAACAATGACAACAAAAAATCCCAAACCGTACTACCTTGACAATGGTGACACCCACAAATGTGTCAGAAATAGGAAAAAGCATTATAATAAAACTTTATTCTTCTTCAGAATAAAAACTGCAAGGTCAGTTTTACTGGTAAAATTACTCAAGTCTCTTAGCTTGCCAAGTTTCATCTTCTTACCAGTCTACCCAAGAATGACAATGAGTAAATAACTGAGTAATTATCCAAAGCCTCTGTATTTCTTGGGTAGGGAGAATATGCTACCTAAGTCTTGAAGCAATTTCTGTTATCCTCTGTTTTTCTGGTTGTAGCTGGAAGCTTGCTCAAGCTGGCCCACTGCTGCAAGCTGGGAGTCAGAAGGTTCTTCTCCATCTGTTGTCGCATCCTGTGCCAAATATTAGAACAGAAGCCTATCGCTGCTGCCTTGAAATTGTTAAGGTTAGCATTTAACAAGGCCTGTGGTTTCTTCAGAACCAAAAAAATACTCTTTTCCCCCCTATTATATCTAAGTTGCCCTTTTTCCATTTAATAATCTCACAGGAATTTAATTAGGCTGAAAAACTCAGTCATTTGCTATGTAAAGTTGAAATTGCCTGATGTGAATTAATTCTGAGTTCTCGTTAATTTTGCTGAGTTTCAGTACTCAGAGGGGTATCTATCTGACTGCATAGCTTTTTTCTATATTATAATTTATTATAATAGGAACTATATTATAATAATTCTTCCCCATGTCTATAAAAGGCTGCTGATTTGCAGCATGTAAACGACAGTCCAACCTGTAGTGCTTCAATTTAATGGTATCATTACCTTGTGGAGATAAATTAACTCTGTCTGTGGTAGACAGTCCTTTTTGCCTTCACCAGTTGTCAGGGTGAGGGCATTCCCTCATGTTCTCACTGTTTGCATCTTATTCTCTCCCAGCAACTTTAAAGAAGGTTGGCAGGAGGAACCAAGCCGAAAGATTTTCTTTATTTCCAGTTATTCTGCCTGCAGATCACTGGTTTCTTGCTGTGAGAAACTAGCAGTTTTGAGCAAGATGACGTAATGTATTAGCAATAGGAAACCAGCAGTCTTGCCTGTGGTTTTGTGGCCATATTTTTTTTTATCAAGTCTGAATGTAGGTTCCTCTATCTTATTCCAGTTAATTCAGTAGACTTGAAAATATGTTCATGTGGTCAGGACAGTATTTAATCATCTTTCATCTTTGTTTTAGAAATGTTTAGGCATTCATAATGCTGTAAAGTCTGTTTCTTCAGTCAGCTATGGTGTACATTTTCTGCTTCATCCCAAAGTTCTTTATGAAATCTGCACTTTTGGTCTTCAGGATTCCCAACATGAGGTACAACATTTTGTACATGGTATCATCTGTGAGTTGATCTGTAAATTAAAAGAATGAATAGATCAAAAGTTTTGTACCTTTCTAAACTCCAAATTATTTAGCTTTCTCATCAATTGCTATCTTGCAACTGGCTATAAATAGATCATAAACTGCATCCTAAGTATATGTATTAAAAATAGTCCTTATTGAAATTAGTAGAACTTGCTTTTGTTTTCAATGTGTTTAGGATTGCAGCAAATTTCAATCTGAGAATTTTCAAAAGCATAAAAAGAATTTTAAGTAACGTGGAAAATGACTAAAGTGCAATTAGTTATTTGGTAGCACCCAGGCTTCTCCAAAAAGAAACAATGCCCACCCCCTCGTAGTAGACTGAAATATTGAAGAAAGGGCTTGACCTGTAGCTCTCATCTTCTTTGTATTAGGTGCTGATTGTTGTTGCATTGAGGGAGAAGGGGAGGGTGGTGGGGAGGGGAGGCAGTGTGTAGAGAATTCCTGGGGCTAAAAATTATTTCTGGCACTTTGAAGATTTCCCATCAGCATTCAGATTCAGGGCTATTTGTGTGCCATTGTTCTCTCAGACAAGGAATACATACAGCAGCAAAACAAGGGAACAAGGTAGTTCAACAGTACCAAAAGAAGAAAAGAATACTCAATTATGTTACTTGTGATTTTTATATAATTATTTGTCATTTGTTTACCTAGTATTTCTCTGTCTCACACACATACATTCTGCATTTGTCCTAAGATTCAAGTTCAGCTAGTGTTTTAAGATTTGCCTCTCAGCCTTTTCTGTGGGCAGTAAGCAAAGCTAACCCTGAGTTGTAAAGATTTCCTAAATGCTTAGACAAGAGCGCTGTTTTTTAAAAGTCCTCATCAGTGTTTTATTGTGGGCATTTCTTGAGCTGAATCACACTGTCTGCTTGAAGACTGTTCAGTGCTAATAGGCGGTAGGTTCTTGAAAGTATTTCATCACTGTTCTTGTTTTTTAACAAAAATGAAAACAAACAAAAAAACACAAAAGCTATTTGGTGCAATGTCCCAAGGCACAGCCTAATTTCCATTTCTGACACCAACAAATTGGTTTGAACACTCTTTATTGCACTATCGTATCTTCTCTCATTAAAACAGGTATGCTCAGCTGCCACAGCTATACTGATGTATCTTCTTCAAGGCCGATTGATGATGGCAGCAGAGACCTGGAACAAGTTTATTGAAACCCTCTATCCTGTTGTTCCAATTCTTCAGGTAATCTCATCTTCTTGAAAAGTAGTTTATCTTCAGATAAGCCTAATTGCTTTGCCAAAAAAAGCAGCACTGACATTACACAATAGGGGAAAATATGTAAACATGGCAACCAGAAATAGAGGAGTTGCCCCTATAGTTGTTGTTTGGATGCTTGTAACTAAAGCTGAATAGGTAAGTAGCATTAGACTTTTTAAACAGGAAATATCATCTTGGAATTCGCGATGTGACAGTTTTCTGGAGAGATTTGTACTATTCAGAAGCATCCTGAATTCTTACTGATCATAACTTGAGGGTTACTTGGAGAAATTGCTTGTGGGACATATGAATCAATTTAATATAATCAATCAATGAGGAAACGTCTTATATTCATTGTCTAAATTTTTTTCAAGTAAAATTCCAAAATCATCTTATCATGAAAGTTGTATTGTGCTTGTTTCACATGCCAGCATGTTTCTGCCAACGCATTAAGCAGAATTCTTCATCTTTTTTTGGTGAACAGTTTTGGAATGTTGAGAATATGTTAGTTTTGTTTTTGTTTTTACAACATGGATGTTGATGAGAGGCAACTTGCCTATGTCAAAATGGCTACTGTGGCATACACAATAAGATACAAAGCACTGATTTACCCATGCTTCTTGTCTTTCCCCCCACCCCTATTAAGACTTCCTTTGCTTCTCATTGTCCTTTTTCTGAGCAGGTTGGTGTACTTCCAAATAAAGTACTGAGATGCAGGCCCCCATTTTATTTCTTGGAAGTAAAAATGATAACAGGAGGCACATCACGGTTTTAATTAAAATATTTTAAAATCCCAATTATTTTTTAAAGAAATTGCATGGAACTGGAAGTAAGCATACAAAAGGAAAGTTAATGACCCTGGGCATCACATAAGGGATTGTATTAGAAACTTTGTGCTGTGTTTCTGGTGGGTAGTGGTGATACCAGCAGAACACGACAAGGCAAATTTGCTGAGGAAATTGAACCACAGTCCCCCAGAAGCTGTCCTCTGAAATTGGGATATCTCCAACAAACAATGCATGTTTGAAAAACAAATGGCAATTGCCTATCAGTTGGTCTGTTAACTTCCTGTTGCCAATTACTGAGAGAGTTTTCTTGGTAATAAAGCAATAATGTCTCTTTTGGAGCATGATATTTACTTATGGTAATTATCTGCCTGTGTTAACTTGTAAGTATTTACTTAGGGTTATGCAAACACAGAAGAACCTCTAGGTAACTGCATTCTCACACTGAGTGAAACAACTACTGAAAATGAAGGTATTCTGCCAAGAACTACTAGGCTAAGAGCTTCTCTTCGTCTTCTCTTCTCAAAAAAACCATTGTGAGTAAACCAGCAATAACATTTATATGAGAAAAGGATTATTATCTGTACCTTGGCCTGCATGGAATATAGTTTTGAAGATACAGTAAGTTAATTTTTCTTTTGAATGGAAAAGGCAGATGAGGTTATAGCAGCTATATCCTTCAAATGCAGGTGATACAACTTTTTCAACTGCGTGTCAATTTAGCCAATTTGCAAAAAGATAGAAAATGGAGCACAGCCCAAATGACAACCCTCCGCTTAGATAAATCATTTTAGAATGAAGTAATACATCCTTGAGGTGCTGGAAATTATGCCAATCCTTAGAAGGTTGTAAAATGTCTGAAAGACACTAATTTGGAAAAGCGGAGGGTGGGTAGAAATAGATTATGACTGACTGGATTGAAGAAGCAGTGAAGAGAAGATTAAGTGTTTGTTTTACTATGGAAAACTGGAGCACAGAAATTGAGATACTCTTTGAAGTGACAAGCAAATCAACTTGTAAAACACTGGCACTGAACTCTCATCTACTGCATTTTTTACATCAACTTTGAGTTGATAGCTGGTCTACATGATTTTGTGGACTGTTTTGGAAGGCTAAAATTATTAATTGGTAACCAGTTCTGTCTGATGTGATGCAAAAATTCAAACTGTTTTAATTCACCCAACATGGCCTTTAACAGGAACAATTTGGCTGTGCTCATAAGATGTTGGAAAAGCTAAGCAAGATATATAAAATCAGACTGATCCAAAAACATTTGGTGTGAGATTTAGATTTTTGTGCATATAAATCTTCAGTAAAGATCTGGAAATCTTCTAAGGAAATGCTTTGTTTCCCCAGAGTTCGTTCTGTGGCACTCAAACAGTTAATGATTCACCTTGTGGAAGAAGAAGAGGCCCATCTGAAGCGCCCACTGTTGCATGGCAGCATTCTTTCAAGTATTTCTAACGTCTTTATTGTGGAAAAGCCTATTGAACTCAAGCTGGATGATACAAGAGAGTCTGTTTTTAAGGTGAACAGAGAAAACTTTTCACAGGATTGATAACTGGAGAGGACCCCTAAGCAAGGAAATGCAGTGCAGATGATACTGTTGAAGTATTAATTACCCATTTTTTAAAACTGGGTGATATTATTTTCTCACTAAGAAATAATTCATTACATTTATTTGAAGAAACTCTAGTAAAGAAAAAGTAAAAGTTTGATACATGAGGTCCAATGTGGTCCAGCAAGTTGTCCTCAGTCATGGCAAACTGTTTTCAAATCCTTCCCTGGTCAGGGACGTGTCCAGATGGCTGTGGACAACTTCATTTTTGATGCCAGACTACTATCTAGCTGTGTATAAAGCCCAATAAATTAATTTTTAATTTTAACTACTGAAATGTGGAAATGGTTGAAAATAAGATTACTTTATGTCAAAGCTAATCTTTGGTAGCCAAGACTGTTTCTGGATTACTCCATTGGTGACATTTCGCTTTCCACTTTCTTTGGTGAACATGATTCACTTTTCCCTTACCATATACAGTTATTTGTAACTCTTGCTGTTCTAAATGTCTTTATGCTGGTATTACATATCACATTATTATTGTTGATGTTATTATCTGATTGGTTTTCCATGCTTGGAAAAGCTGAATAAACAAAGAAATACACAAGCCCTTTCTTAGAAGGTTAAACAGGGTCACATCTGGTTAATACATAGGAAGGAGACTACTAGAAAATACCAGGGCTACCACCTAGATGGAAAAGTAAAAGTGAAAAAAAACAAGAAGAAGATGATAATGGTAAATCGCTTCTGGTATTGTTGACAAGAAAACTAAGTGCCCATGAAATTACCAGCAATTGAGCTAAACTTTTTAAAGCAAACTCCCAAAATGGTTCCTGCACCTTTGGAAGGTGGGTCTGATCTTGAGAAAAGGGCAGAGCTCTTTTGACCATTCATAGCCTTCTTTTGTTGACAAGAAAACTAAGTGCCCATGAAATTATTGTTGACAAGAAAACTAAGTGCCCATGAAATTACCAGCAATTGAGCTAAACTTTTTAAAGCAAACTCCCAAAATGGTTCCTGCACCTTTGGAAGGTGGGTCTGATCTTGAGAAAAGGGCAGAGCTCTTTTGACCATTCATAGCCTTCTTCCTCCATGGTGATCACTTTCTGTCTTGCCTCAGTGAGCTTTATTTCAAGCAATTGTGTTTCCCTTGGAGCCAGGATGGGAGTGGTGTGTCAATCTTTGTGCTCCTCAATATCTTAGCAGATTAGGTGAGGTGAGGACGTCTGTCAGTTTGGGGTCTGGTATTATCAGTATGCTGATGATACCCAGCTCTATATCTTAACCCCAGCTGGGCAGGTAAAACTGTCAATGTGCTGACCCAGTGTTGGCTGGGTCTGGATGGGGAAGAACAGACTTTGGCTCAATCCTGACAAGACTAAGTGGCTGTTTGGGCGTCCTAGGCCAAGGGCATTTCCACTATTAGTCTTGGATGGGGTTGCACTTCCGCATTCGAGACTGGAATGCAACTTGGGGATCCTCCTAGACTCACAGCTACTATTCAGTGAACAGATGGGAGCTGTGGCCAGGGGGGCCTTTGCACACATTCATCTTGTGTACCAGTTGTGCCCTTTCTTCATCCAGGAGGCCCTTCAGATGGTCATTCATGACCTGGTCACCTCATGACTGGAGTATTGCAATATGCTATACATGAAGCTGCCCTTAAAGACCATCTGGAAGCTACACCTGGTTCAAAATGCAGTGGCATAAGCAGTAAGGGGTGCTTCTCATTATGTCCATATGTCATTGCTGCTATGCACGCTGCATTGGCTGCTTGTTGGCTTCCAGGTGCAATTCAAGGTGCTGGTCATTACCTATAAAGCCCTTCATGGCATGAGACCTGGTTATGTGGTCTATTGCCAATCATTTCTGCCTCCCCAGTCCATTCGGACAGAGTGTGGGCACTCCAGGTCCTCTCAATTATATGTTAGCGTCTTGAGGGATAAAATAAATAGGTTTTTAAGACAATTGAAATGTGAAAAGTAACACAGTAGTAACATTTCTATTGGCTTAGAATTTCCTATCTAAGGTTTGGCAATTAATCTTTTACTTTACCAAGATATGAAGCAACCTTTTGTCTCCTGGCTTTATTACTTATGGATGATGTTTCTTCTGTTTGCCAGGTGCCTGTGGGCTGCTCAGAAAGTTAGCTAAAGAAACCAACATTGCCTGTTATTTTATCTGTGGTTCCTATGCAGCCAGGAGGAGTTGAAAGAGGGTGAGGATAGAGACAACAGATGGCAAAGGAGGAGGAAATGAGAAAAGGGGTAGAAGCTGTGGAAAGAATAGAGCCATAAAAATAGAAGAGGATGATGTAGGGAAAAAGAGGAAGATCTGGAACAGGAGGGTAAGAAAGCCAACAGGGTGCAGGAAAAGAGCATAGACAGTAAGCGACACTGGAGGAGGATAGCAAGAAAGAAAAGT